TTGTTTTCTCTCTGAATAGGTAAACAGAAATGTAGATAATGCCTAAATGTTGCTGTACCGAGCCACCCCGGGATGCCGGCAGCGGAGGTCGGCCAGACCACGCCGTCAGCTCTGCCCCAGCCAAATAACGACGGCGCAGGCGATGCCAAACCCCGCTCACAGCCCCTGCCCTCTGGCCCGGGACTTGTAGCCCTGCAGAAATGCTCCAGCTGGATCTGCAAAGATCCCGGGGTCCCCCAGGGATTGCCAAATAAAATAGAATGCCCAGGGTGGTTGTGGAGTCTCCTTCTCTGGAGATATTCAAAGCCTGCCTGGATGAAGTCCTGTGTAACATGCTCTAGAAGAACCTGCTTTAGCAGGGGGGTTGGACTAGATGATCTCCTGAGGTCCCTTCCAACCCTTGCCATTCTGGGATTCTGTAATTATCCCGCTTCTCCACTTGCTCTGCCTTGTATTTGTGTAGAGCTGGCTGCGGCCTCTCTGCTCGCAGGACACAGTGTCTGCACATTGGATGCTCCATCCGCAGGGAAGGGAGTTGACCAGGGAGGTGTTGGCGAGTCCCCCCACCCCAGCTGGTTGGCCCCAGAGAAGGAGATTTGCTTCCAGCCAGCTTGGGGACCCCTATATCGCACCCATCTGGACAGGCACCTGCCCCGCAACGCATCCAGTGATGCAGCAGGGTGTTTCTTCCACGGGTCGCAGGTACATTTTTTAATTACCACAGAAAACATCCAAACATCACAGCGTATGCTGTTGCATCAGGATCTCGCTCCTCCGCGTCTGCTTCCTCGGGACGCTCTGGGGAATGGGTACTTGTAATCTCCTGAGTGGCAGATGATTATTTTGGGGTTAATTATCAGGGGTGCTCTTGATGTCTCCTGGACAGGGTCTGTGGCTTCAATCCTTTTACTCTCGCTCGTTCATGAATTGCTGCGTGTCGGGCGACACCGCCTCTCGCCAACCTGCCTGGCCTCGCAGAGGGCTGCATTTGATGTTTCAGCCCTCAATATTCTCCCGATCTCTGCCGTTACCGCTTCGGATGTGCAAAACACAAAGCCTGAGAGGCGTTATCGGCAAAGCAAGCTTTGGCAACCCTTAAATTAGCAACGTGCAAGCGCGTGGCGTTCTGCCCAGAGCTCCTCGTGCCGATGGTTTAACGAGCCTCCCTCCGTCTTCCCGTGCAAGCCCTGCACACCGGTGCAGCAGATGGTGTATCCTTGCAGCCCCGCGGGCCGTCCCCCAGCGCGCCTGGTTGGCGGGGGGACTGTCAGCACTGAGGCAAGGGGAAAGGGGCTCTTGGATTGACCATTTATTAGGATAGAGCCGGAGGATGAGACAGATGGCCGGGGTCTGTTGGCGGGGAACTCCGCTCCTGCGTGTTTCATTCGTCACCAGGCATACCACAAGCTACAGCGTGTCACACCGCGAGCTCCTGAGCGGGGTGAGGTGACCGTTTGCGCTAGGGCAGGTTTAGGCTAGACATTAGGAAAAACTTCTTCCCCAAAAGGGTTGTCAGGCTCTGGAAGGGGCTGCCCAGGGTGGTGGTCAAGTGCCCATCCCTGGAGGGATTTAAAAGCTGGGCAGATGAGGTGCTTAGGGCCAGGGTTTAGTGGTGGGATGGCAGGGGTGGGGTAAAGGTTGGGCCT